AAGCAAGGAAATTAAGGAAACTTTATAAATGCATTTTAAAGAAAATGTATGCTTCCTAATTAGTTATTCTATGAGTTGTGAGTCAATAATAATGTATTTAAAAACGTTTTCAGCACTTGTTTAAGTTGAAACATGTAAATATTGTTTACGTAAATTAATAAACGAAATTATTTCGTAAGTTAGGAATGAAAATACACTTGAAATGAATAAAAAGAAAAATAATTACATTCACTTAGAAATCCCTTTTTTATGTTTTGAAATAATGAATTTGAAATACTATATGCAAATATGTGCACAGTTTTTATAACTGTTAAGTAAACTTCGTCAGATTATTTTATTTTAAATAAATTAAAATATTTTGTTATAAAGTTATGTTAAAATACGTGATATGAAGGTATTTGACAAGCTAACCGTTTGTTAAGCTATGGAAGATTTATGATTTCTTAGTAAGTTCATTGTTAAGAAAGTATTATTTTGATGATAGGACATTTTTCACCATAAAATAACACATAAAAAATTTCGCGATGTCAACATTCAAAACAAGTAACTTTCAGTAATAAAAATATTTTCATTCATTTCTAAATTTTAGACAAAACAAAATAAACGGTTGGGTTCAAAATTTCCAGCAAACATTTGAACTAACTTTTACATTATCACTAGGCGGAACTGCTGTAAATGATTTAGCCAAAAATTAAGAACCTGAAAAAAATGCACCGACGTTTAGAAAACAGTTACGTGACGTTCCTGCTCTAAGAACAATGGATTCATATTACAAAATTTTGCCAGTAAAATAAGAAGAATGTCAGGAGGAAAAAAAGAAATATTATCTATGTAACTATAAATGGAGCAGATCTTCATTCAGTTCTGATCGTTGAAGACCATCTTTCAGAGCTGATTTAACGGAAAGAATTATATCAAATAACAAATCCAGTAGATTAAATCGAAAGGTGAGCTTCAGAGGTATGTGACATTTTAAGGAATGAAACAATTCATGCCGAATTTCATGAAAATAAGAAATTAGGTGGGATCAAAACCACAAAAAAAAAAAAAAAAAAAAAAAAAAAAATTAAAGTAATTTTAGTGCAGAGTGGAAAGTACAAAACCTCTGTTTTCATTCAACATTGTAGCATAAAATAAAAAAAATATTGGAATTATAAATGCCTTTCATTCAAAGGTTACTTACAGTTTATTGCTTTATTAATTTGGCTAAACGGAAAGAAGAATTCTGAGAAATAAATTTCTGTTTATGTTCCATAAAAGAAAAGTGTTAAAGAACTTAATAATTTAAATCTTTTGTTCATGATGTTGAGTACTGGCACACAGTTAAGTAAAAATGAAGGAAGGTAAAACAATGCATTTTTTTCAATTTTAAACACTTAATGGCATTCGAAAGAAAGAGATAATAACCACAGTAATAATTAAAAAAATTAAAGTTTCTACAAGTAAAAAACTTTGTGTTGTATTCACAAGAATATCATATTGGTTGCGCATTTGGTTTTTTGTGAGTTTTTTAAAGACAAAAGTGACGACTACGAATTCTGCATAGTCTAATGATAGAACTATTAAATGTCTCAATGAATGTATCATATACTGAAAGCAACAGCAATAGCTTCTTTTCTGAAGAACGTAAATTGCACACATTATTATAAGCTTTCACATTATGGTTCATTCCTCCGATTTCATTCTTTAGGATTTAGGACATTATTTATAAAAAAAATATCTCGGTTTTCCCTTCGAGTTAAAAACATAATGTTTCTGTTTTATTCTGTACTATGATTGACGTATTTATAGAATATATTGACATGCCAGTAGTGATGGGATATCAGTCTAATATTGAGTCACACCATCTTTAGCTCAATGAAGGGAAGTAACTCGATTTGGTGTAAACTTAATAAGTCGGCCTAGACTTAATCAGAAGTCAGCAGAAGCCTCCCAGAGACATGATTCAGCATCCGCAACTCATTATTTGTGTGTTTATATTAGACACCTTATCCTTTTAGATTTGGCGCTTACTTCTCAAACATGTTGCGAGATATTCATGTCTAGTGATCTAGGAGGCCAAAACATGTGCTGGAACTCTCTAAAATGCTCCTCGAAGTAGTCTTGAACAATCTGTACCTGCGTATAATCATCCTAGAAAATCCCGTGATTATCAGGATACATGAAATTTGCAAAGGAGCATATAAATTAACATAGAGATTTACTCTCAAGGATTGGTTGTGTTGATCAGAGAATAAAATCTATACAAGGAAAACATCACCAAACTGCATAAATGATTCTTAGCCTCATGGGATTTGCGTCGCATTTGATACTGACTGTCCGCTCGTATTAACTGGAAATGTAATAAATACATCAGGCTAAGCATTTTTTCTCTTGGAAAAGTAGAGTCCGATGCAGGAGTTCGCGGTTCGAAAGCCAATACTATGCTGTGGGGGAACACACTCGATTCAATCTTCCGCTACCCTGTCATTTGAATGCCGAATTTCACTGCATAATCTCACATTAAAGTCTTAAATGAACGTCTCATTCACTGTGGCAGTCAATTTACTTAATGCCTTTGTCCATTAGCACGGTCACTCCTTGCAGCTTGTCTCGACCACTCAGCAGACGTAGCCAAGCAGACGTAGCGCTGTTCTCCATGGAATGTGCTGCTCAATTAGTGCATTCTAATCACTAGGAAGAGAAAGCCCGAATAACTTTCGAAATGTCATACTCCATATATCGATATACAGCCGTCATTTCGCGTTCAAACTAGGTCAGTTCTCGTCGAAAGCCAATATAAATTTATTAAATGTTCTACAAACATTTAAGAGTCCAACAGACAGCTCTGATTAACGTTTAATTCTTTATGTTCTTTTAATGGCATGCGAGTGCCATTTGTGTACTTGCATTTTTTCTGTGGGAGTTAGAAGTAATATATGAAGAGTGGAATGTTGAATAATTAACGAATGTGGATTCCCGAGCACTCAAAACAAGTGAAGATACATTGATTGCACAGGGCAAAATATTTGACAGCTGCTGTGGCCCTAAAAATTAAGTTCCTATCTATCACAGTTTCTAGTGAATACAACATGTAAATTTAGCTTATATACATTTAATATTAATATAATAACTATACCAGTATTATTTTTAAAGGAAGAAGATAATCCAATGTATAAAAAAATCACTTCAAATGTCTGAACAAAAATGATTCATGTGCGTATATATACAAATTACAGTTTTAATAATTATATGTTTAAGGTGATCATTTGATTGATAATTTTCCATACTTTCCAAAACATTTTCTAGGACAAAATTAGTGGTATGATATTCTTATTCAACAAATGAGACTTTCTGACTTGGTAACCGCGTATTTATGATTTTATGGTTATACAAATGTTTTACAACCGCAGAAAGGATACCTGAGTTCCATATCTAATTTTTGAGTTAAAACGTTCAAGTTTTCAGAATTTTAGAGGTCAAAATTCTCATCGCTTTCAACCCAGTTAGCCTTCGACCTAAAACTGCCTAAAAATGCAATTATTGTGAAAAGCAGCGAAAACAAATTTCCATATTCCACACTTCATATAATAGATATTTTGAAAATAAGCTGGCAAATACTAACAGTATAACTCACAGGAATCTTTGACTAGGCATATTTACTTGCTTGCCAAACGCTTTGACCAAAAATGAAGTTGAAGATATGCTGATCCTTTACGACAATAAAATGGATTGTATTGCAAGACACTACACCGGAAATGGCTGACATTTTGAAAAACCAATAATTCAGAATCTATTTTTATTAACCTGTTCTTGCTTTGCATGATTTCATTTTCTTAAATGAAAATTTATTGCGTGAAAGTTTCCACTTAAACGGGACGATTAAAGGATATGAAGGAAAAGAAAAGAATATTATTAAAAAATATTCACAAAAGTTCTACAAACCACTATTCTCGAGATTAAAAAAATATGTGCGTCAGATTCATTAAACTTTTCTGTAGTGTATGCATGTAAGAAGGTATATATACGCAGGGTACACAAACATTTAAAATCGTACATACATATTAAAAGTTTACTGAGTTGCAATGTTTTGCTGCTATTCGTTTCAAGTAAATTAAAGGTTTAAAACAGACACATTTATGATAAATAATTTCCAACTGAATATTTAAAAAACTAAATATTTAATAAAAAGGAATTTCTGATTATATTTTTTTACCATTTTTTTTCTCAATCACAATTATACTATATAAATTTTAAATCCAAGTGTATTTTACTACTTGTCATTTTAGAATATCGTTATGGATCGTGCTTATGAATTTGTGAAACAATGTAAAGCAATATTCTTCAGAATCTTGATAGTTACAATATTTTTGTTTTCAAAATATACATATAACGTCTTCATGGCTGATGCAGTATTTCGTACCCATGAATTTTGTAACAGTTAAAAAATAGTACGAAGATTTCTGAGGCAATGGCAGAAATTAGTCTGACGCAAAGCTTTCTAATATCACAGGGGATTTACGTGAACTACATGTACATAGCAAGAACAACGAGAAATGTTTTGAAGGCTGAAATTGGGTTACAGATTAACACATGACATGCTCAGGAATGTCTAATATTTCCTATGTAATCCTTTACAGTGCACTGTGTTCAGGATTAAATATTTTCTTTAATGGCAAACATTCACTATTGCTATTGAAATAAAGGACTCTGAAATTCACAGTGTGTGTTTGTATAAGTTCTCTGAAAAGCGAACACTGATACAGATATTATTCGCTATTTATATCATGAAATATACTGTTGTAGTAACAGAATTGTACTTTATGTACTTCTCTGCTTGCTTGATGCTTTTTTGGCTTATGAAACTAAATTATTATCTGCATTAAAAATTGGCTCACATAGTTATTCTGGTATCCAGTCAATGATTAATACAGAAATTTAAAATGTCCTCAAGACTCGAAAAGAACTCAATAATCATTTTACTAGAATTACTATTGTATGTATTCAAATCAAAACACGATTCTGTGTGAAACATATGGAGGAACATCTTTGTTAATTTTTAATATATCACAGACTGTTTAAACTTGGGCGGCAGCAACTTCCTCCAGAGGTCGCGCGATGATGGGTATTTCAATAAATGTAGCGCACATCGTGTCAGCTGTGTGAGTTACATGATTCGGTGTTAACCCTAAGCGCGCATGTGACGGACAGCTTATCATACTGGCACGTCTCACTTGAGGTTTGTGCAGAGCACCACTGAGCTGGGGAAATGTAGTTTCCAAGATTCTTATAGAAGCGATTCTAAATTCCGCACTTCTGTAACCGTACATCCAAGGATCAGTCGCCGCACTCGCTATTGCCAAAAGACCGAGGTAGAAAACTGTCTTCTCATTGAGTGAGTCTGTGAATGCAACGACTTGGAAGGGCATCCACAGAAGACAAAATAGTCCTACTGTACCTGCTAAAGTCCTTCCATACTTAGGTCCGGATAAAGGATGCTGTCGAAAGGACAATTCAGCTGAAAATATAGCCCGCGCATGAGAACGGGCTACTGCATATACATACCCATAACTACTGATCACAAGCAAAGTACATGGAACAAACAGCACAGTGAATAGGAAAACTCGTGAAGGCCAGAGAACAACGGTTATAAAAGAGCAGTTATGCGTAATAGATGATCCTTTTGCAGAAAACCAGTACAGCAAGGGAAAGGAAGAGAGCAAAAGCGAGTATATCCAGAACAAAGCAATATATCTCACAACAGATCCGTGGGTTATGATATTGTTGTATTTCAAAGGTGATGCTAGAGATGTGCATCGATCCACAGCTACGGCTGTTATGCTTAATAAAGCGACGGAACACAACAAGATGAAGAGGCAGTATGGAAGAAGACAAAGCACTATACATCTGACGTGAGATCTTGTGAATTCGAAATACAGTCCTGGGGGTAAAAGTAATCCCAATCCAAAATCGGCTGATGCTAGTGATGCTACGAAATAATTGCTTGGATTCCTCAATCGCTTGAAGCGATATACAGCTACTAGAAGCAACGCGTTGCTGCAAATTATAGAAGTTGACAGCAGAAAGACGATAAGCACTGCTAAAGTTAGCTGACCAGGAGACGTCCAAGTGTCCGACGCTGGAAGGACCCATTCCATCACATCTGGCCGGGTTGCAGGGGTTATTTCTGATCCTCCAGGATCTGAAGGAGAATCAATGTCCGGATCTTTGACAGCTACTGTGATATTGACTCGAGGTATCATGCCGATGTTTTCTTCGGAGGTGAAACCTATAATGAAAAGGAAGAAATTCATTAGCTAGGTGATTTTTAGCACAAAATCGCCTTAAGATTGCATTAAAATACCCATTATACTTTTTATAGTACCTGTAGATATATGAATAAATCATTGAATTGTAAAAAGTCTTTTTAATAATTCTACTATATTTGAACGATCTATTGATTTTTATAGTTCTAATGCATTTGAAAAACGTTAATAAAATATTTCTTTTGCCGAAGCCTAATGGATGAGATATAAATAGATAATGATAATGTTTAAACAATTAATGTAAGAAAAGTAAATAGAATTTTGCATACTAAAATAATTTCCTACATCTGAGAAATTTCTATCATTTGCATTTACCCGTCAGCAGTTAACGGAATAAAATATGGGATTATGGACTGATTTGTATTGTCAGGGAATGGGAATGTATGGCCCCTTTCTACATTTTCTTTTACCATACGTTGTATAAATGCCTCTTAATATACCAGTAATTACAACAGAACTTGACTGTAAAGGAACCTTTGAAAATATAGGTAGATTCATGGTCACTCTTCATTCACTATCTATATACCTACCTGCCTACGTAGAAGAGTGAATGTGAAGAGCTCAGTTCGTTACGCTGTGGTAAAATTAATAAGCATGTGACCTCATGATTGACTAGAAATTAGCAGGGATGTGAGTATTTTAACTAGCTTGAGTAGCTTGTTCTCATGCAAGAAAGCTCTTGGATTAGAAGTCCAGCCAAATGATCTGTTACATGTTTTTTCATTACAGGTCACAGTCTGATACGGGAATTACAAATTCATTTGGTTGATGTTTGGTACTTAAATTGCATCAGAGAAAGAGCTAAGGATCTTCTTCGTAATGAGAGAAACATTACTAGGCTTATCAAGAATTTGCGAATCATCCATCAAAAATAGTTCGGAAACACAGTTAGCTGACAGTTGAAAAATATCAACTAATAAAATTTCAGGGGTTCAGATACAAAGATGCAATGACTAGAGAAGACCTTGAGTTGAAAGTTATACAACTAACAATACGAATGCTCAGTCGGCTAGATTCTGAGGACATATTGCAATAATTATGTTACTCTTGTAGTGATAGTTATACAGATGAAGACGCTAATCTCACACAGTTAATTATTCCTCTCCATACACCTAAATACATTCAGTTTCTAATTCTGAGTGCAATATTCACTGAAATCAAGAAATCAAGTAAAAAATAATCCTGATCCAACTAAAATGAAAGATTGCTTATAGTTTAATAATTTCCAAATTAATTATTTAAAAAAATTAGGCCTAGCTGCACTCAAACAACTTTTAAATTCTTGATAACTCCACAAATATTGCATGCAGATTGAGTTATGCAGATTAAGTTGTTCTTATCTTCCGGTTAAGGCATAAAAACCTTAACCGGAAGATAAGAACAACATAATTCAATCATTTTTAAAGCAAAAAAAATGCACAACTTACAAACATATAAGAGTAAAGAAACTGAGATCACTGAGCCTGTTAACAGAATGGATATATATATATATATATGTACATATATTTATATACGTTTGGTGCGGCCGATTGCAACCAAAATACGAGATGCACATCTGCATGTTATAGCAATTCTATATACAAAATTTCAACGTTCTGAGGCTACTCGGTTTTGAGTTATGAGAGATACGTACGTACAGACGCCACGAAAAATTCTCTTCAGAATTCATTTTAAATCAGTTTTAGTATTTTTTGGTGGAAAAGAGTCTCTTATTCTGCTCTTACGTACAGATGTCACTCAAAAACATCGTTAAATTGCATTCGATAGCAGTCAAAATTGATATTTTCGTTGAAATATGATGGCTGAAAAATTTCGCCTTTTTACTTCGTAGAAGGAAGTAAAAGAGGTTTGATTGCATTGAAGGAGGATTTTCAAGCACAAGTCTTATTCAAAACACATGTATAAGCTAAATTTTGGAATTTAAAAATAATCCGAGAGAAGTATTCCAAAATAAAGCATTTTAGCGAACAAAATTATTGATTTCATCCCCCTCTTCTTACCTAGTAGATGTAAGCTTTAGTCAGTCAACATTTTAATACGGGAAACAAGAAACAGTTTGAATATTTCTGAACGAGATGATTTAAGTACTAAGTTAAGCAAATTATGTAAAATATTTAAAAACTCCTATCAACCACTGATATCACATAAATTAAAATAAAAAGTTAAAAATTTTGTGCGTTTATAATCTGCGATTTTGTTTCTGAAAATTTATTTATACTTCTAAATTAAAAATTAATTCAAAAAATGAATAAAACATAAATCGAATAAACTATTTTTTTTCAAAAATTTTGTTCCTATTCTTAGTCTAATTATTAAGATATTTATACGTAATTGTTTATAGAATGATTGTAACGAAGAAAATCTATGTAAAAAACCATTCCTTTAAAAGGGGTCGGTGCAAGAAGTGGAGGTTTTCTTGTGTTGGGCTGCATGACAGCACCAGGACTGGGTTAATTTGGTATTTATTTATGGCATAATGAATCATTCCCTTTATTTATATATTTTAAGAGACAATTTAAAATTATCAGCTCAAAATTTGGGTATTGGAAACAACTTTATTTTTAATCATGATAACGATCCTAAGCATACGGCTCTCAACGTTCGCCTGTGATGTCTCTATAATTGTCCACAGGTTTTGAAAACACCACCTCAGTCGCCAGATTTAAACCCGATAGAACACATTTGGAAAGAACTGGAGGTTAGAGTACGGAAAAACGACATCAAAACGAAAAGCGAACTCAAAACAGTCATGATGGAAGAATGGATGAACATATACAGAAATTACAAAAACCCAGTAAAATCTATTCCCAGACATTTGAAAGCTGTTGTGGATGCTAAAGGATATCATACTAAATATTAATTTAACGAAAAATGAAAATATTTACTAATATGTCGAGATTTCTTTTGAAGTGTACGAAGACTTTTGTGAGATAAAATGTTTGTCATTTTTTGATTATTAATTTCTTAAAAAAAGTTTCGCTATATTTTAAAAATATTTCATGTAATTTTGTTAGGAATAGATTACAGATCTTATTATTAAAATCTCATTCAGAAAGTTTACTTTTAATTAATGGATAGAGCCCTATGTCAATGAAAATAAGTGTACGAACACTTTTGGGAGCCTCTGTATATTAACTATATATCAAGCATTGTTTTAATATAAGCATTTTGTCACAAAATCGGACTTTTTCTGAAATGAAATGCTAATGTTTTTACATATTTCGATTCCACGACTGAAATTATGCCAAACTGTCAAGTATTGTAAAAATCGCGTGAGTAGTTTTTAAAAAATTATCTCTCAAAACTTTAGCTCCTCAATGTTAATTCAATTTGGTATGCATTTATTAATATCTCTTTTTTATTACACGTATTTGATTCCTTCTTTTACAGATCGAAATTTAGGTTCGTTCCAAATAAAATTTATCCATTTTTATGATTTATTTTTAAAATTAGTATTTTAAAATAATTTTATAAATTTTGTATTATAACCTGCAAAAGTTTTAACATTGTCTTAAAAAAGATGTATTTCTAGGCACACCTTCCAAAATTAGAGTTTTTTATTCAAAATTTTCTAAGATATACATGAATTTACATATTGGGCATTTTTAAATTTGGCATCTTTTTTTTTGAGCGATAATAACGCCAAACGATAATACGCACTTTGTAAAATTATTTGAAAGCGTGAAGGATGCCTTTTTTCCGCTCGTTTACAATTAAAAAAGAAAAGAAAAATGGGTTGGTATAAATTGAGAAGTTCGCCAAGTAAATTATTTTTGGCGAAAACTGAAAAAAAATTACGCGAAAGTAAATTTTTGAATTTCTCCGTAAGTTTCACATCAAATTTGACAACATTTAATATTTATGGATAATTTGAGTCGTAGAATCGAAGTATTTAAAAAAATTGGCATGTTTTTTCAGAAAAAGTCTGATTTTGTGTCAAAACACCTATGTTAGAATGATGCTATATAAATCTAATATATATTCTAAGTCTCTAATATATAATCTAATATTTATTCTTTTGAGGCATGAAAAAAGCAATTTTAATTTCGACAATCGGTCGAGTCGAACGGGAGATATAGAAATGTGCAGTGTAAATGTATATATATATATATAAACCCCGATTTTGAATCCATTTTAAAATTTGCTTGGGAGCAAAAAGTCCTTTACTCTGTCCGCACGTACGGATGTCACACAAAAAATAGTCGAAATGGATTTGAGAACTGTCGAAATGGATTTTTTCTTGAAATATGAAAACTGAAATTTTTCGCAATTATAATACTTTTTTTACTTCGCACGAGAAAGTAAAAAGCAGGAAATTTCTATAACCTTTGATCCAAAAAATATTCTCCTTTTTTAAGTAAAAGTGATTTCATTTATGATTGAAAAGCTTTATTTAAAAAAAAATACCCTTTTTTATTAGGCTTAAAGATTAGCTTAGAAGTTTTCTTAGAAACAGCTGAAGATTTTTCTCACGAAGAATACGATAAGCACGTTTCGAAGGCAGATAAAATACCGTATTTTTCTCCTGGAACTGCTGAGAAAAAAAACAAATGTTATATTTTACATCACAAGTTCTTTCTTATTTTAGTCTGAAGAGTTTTCAAGGTAAATTAAAAAATTTGCGAAATTAGATTAGCAGAAACAGAAGGCTCTTGAAATCATATAAAAATAAATTCTTAAGTACTAAGTTTCATCGTGTTTGTACTTTTATGCGAATGAAGTTTTGTTTAATTTGTCTTTACTTCTAGATAATAAAATAATATTTAAATAATTCCTAAATTATTTCCACCATTATGTTCTCCAATGCAGAAATAAGATAGACAAAATGTATAGATAAGGTTTTGGTGCAAAATACTTGAATAAATACTATTTAAATATTGTTTTCGGAAATGACTGAGAAAATTTGCTTAATACGATACCCTTTATCATACTAACTGTGCGATTGTAGTAAAAGTAATTGTCATATCAGTGTAATTTAGTATTGGTGT